GCATTAACCAACCGAAAAACACTGAACTATTTGATAAGATACTAAAGAAAACAAAGACATGATTATGCTTTGCTGTACAACTTTTGACTACTATTTTTGTGATTGGCTTCGGCCGATCACAGTTGTGTCCATATGAGGTATCCGGCAAATTTAACTATTTGCGCACGCATTGCGCCTCGCACTATTTTATTTACTATGCAATGACCACCTTATTTAAATCTATAAATAGATGAGGATTACTATAAACGTTACTCTTATCATTTTACCCTGATAATAAAACATTTTTAGGGTTACATACATAATAATTCAAATCACGTTTTTTTCATATATGAGTAAGAATATGAGTCGAAAGTATGATTCGCCTACTAAGTGTAAAGTTCATTCTTGCCTTGCCATTTCGGAAGTCATTAAAACGGTGTTATATATATTTTACTGCATGTAGCGTATATATATTTTACTGCATGTAGCATTTATTATATTAACAGAGTTGACCAATGGTATTACATGTCGATCATTCCTTTAAAAGGAATACTTGTTTATCCCCTCACGCAGCTTGTTGTGAGGGGGATATAGCATCGCTGCTGTGTGTGTATGTATGTATGTATGTGTGTCCATTTCAGCCTTTTAGCAAAATTCAAAGAAAACTCTTGCATGCATGTGTATCAAACTTCGTACACTTCATAAGCATGTTTAAAGGAAAAACCCTATTTATTTTCAAGGAATTCTGTTGTAATTTTAAAATATGTAGGACTTCCAGTTTGTGAAAGTAAACATTTCAAATCAACAACATGATATTTTGTTGGATGTAAGCCCTGTAAAGGTAAGAAGCAAACGTTTTTGAGAAATGGGGAGTTGAAAGGATGTCCAAAGTGAAAAACTGAAGCAAGCAGGAGATTAAGTTCACCCTAATTTTTTTTAATAATCGAAACAAGCAGCCGTCTAAGCCAAATTTCGGGCTACATTTAACAAATTACTTAGAGAAAAACAGGTTCATAATTCAGTAGATACTTTGACAACTATTGTCAACATGATTAACCGGGAATTCATTTCATGTTAATTGCTGAAGATATGTTACTCTTTTTTAAGAATATTGGGGTTAAAACTATGACATGTTAACTTGAGTTTTCTCATAGAGCAGACTATGAATCGCCAGATCTTCGCTATGTTTCCTTTTCAATATGAAACTTCAATTTGCCTACACTAATTGTCTACATGCGTAATGTATGTCACTGGATAAAGAGAATTTATTAAACTAAATTACTAATGTTTAACACATGTGTGGTGTGTTTTCCCTAGTAACGGTAGGAATTGTACAACTAAGTAAATGCACCCATCCCCCATGGATACACAGAGCGTGCATGGGGATAGGAATAAACAAAATATTTTAATTCAAAATGGTTTTCAAGAAGTTAAATATTTGGTCTCTTCAATTACATGTTTATTTCTGAATAATGCATTTCCCCGCACAATATTTTCATTTCGCGAGGGGATGCTCCGCTTTGTAGTGCCCTTGTTAAGCTTAAAATAATAGTGATTGTTAAAGCATTGTAGCGAAAGAGATTCCAAGCGTTGATGCTCAAAGTTAAAACATGTACCAGGTATTTTATAAGTGATGATATGCGCCAGCAGCTAGGGCACAGCATTTTTTATACCCCCGCAAACAAAGTTTAGGGGGGTATATTGGTTTCACCCTGTCCGTCTGTCTGTCTGTCCGTCTGTCCGTCTGTCTGTCCGTCCGTCTGTCCGTCTGTCCGTCTGTCTGTAGACGCAACTTTGTCCCCCCTATAGAATTTTTTATTACTGCATGGAACAGTTTGAAAATTTGTACATATGTTGAACACCATCTGAAGATGTGCACCTGCAATTTTTTTAAAGATCAGACAAGATTTAATGATTTTATGACAGTTTTCATTTTCCTTATTCTATATATTGTACACTAATGTTGAAAAGTAAGGGAGGTAATCCTTACAGATTTTATTAATTAATTAATAGAAAACACTCTAAAATATATTTATATAAATACATCCAGATGAAGGTTTTTTGTCTTTATGTCTTAATTAATAAAAAAAAATTATTTTTTATAAGTATTCTATGAACTGACAATGCAAAGTTTTTGTTTGTCAATGATAAATTCTTAGGAGCTAATAAGAACATCAAAGACAAGTGTGGCTGAATTCATCTGTCCCAAGGGAGCCATTATCTGAGCCATGGTTCAGATGGAGCATGTGTTTAGGGGAAATTGATAATCTGTAAAGTGGGTGATGGTTTTGGGGCTATTTTAAAACTGTTTCATGTAAATCAAAAGGTCTATCATTATAAGGTAATAAATAATTTAATTATTAATAAAGAAGTTAAACTATTTTTAGAGGTTGTTTAAATTTATTTGTCAAGTAAATTGATGAAGTGACCCTATTGGGCATTAATTTAAATGAAATTCAAAATTACTGATATGATTGTAGTGTTTTGGCAATTTTAAAATTGTTTGTAATATTAAATTTTCTTTTTTTACATATTTTTACATAGTATGATAATTATGGTAATGTTTTGGGAGTTTATTAAATTTAACAAGTTCATCAAAGAAAATCATAGTCCTATGGGATCAATTTTCTGATATGGAGTTCCATTGTGCCATAGGAGAAAGTGAGGAAAATTTGAAACAACTAATTGCATCTGTCAAGACTCTTATTAGTAAGATATTGAAAGTTTTATCAACAGAAGAGCATTGCTTGGCTACCGGTATTTCTATTCACTGCAAAGGGAGGGGTTATTGTCATTTTGTTGGTTTTTCTTTAAATCAATTAAATTAAGAAAATATATCATCAAATACATACATTTGTAAATGTATTACTGTTATAGATATGTATTTACAGTGAAATTCTGACAAGTTTGATTTTATTTTTTCTTTGTTAACTAATTTTTTTTTTTTTTTACAATTCTAGAATTTTTTTTTTGTATGTGTTCCAAACCTTTATTATTCAATTCAATATTTGTCCCATTTGAAATAAGCCTAGCGGGGGTATTAGTCCCATTAGGACAGTTCTAGTTAAATTTATGCACCATTATTTAATTGAATGCAACAATGGCAAAGAGTGCATGGTTATCCCAATCATTGCTTAAAGGTCTTGCGCAAGGAAATAGCCAATTAAACTTAAATTAACTTAGTCATTTGTAGTTCAATATATATAGAGACAATTTCTTTTCTTTCTTCCATATTTGGCACCTTTTTTTAGGCCTACAGTATTGAAATTGGACTGAGTGGAACTGAATTAAGGTATACCTCACTCACCTTGGCTTCTACTTTTTAAGAGACTACATCAAAGATGGCAACTTAAATGGTTTGTTAAACTTTTTACCGGTATATTGTTCATTTGGATTGTAAATTGTCATAGCTCAGTGGTTAAATTATTGGGCTTCTGAACCGCAGATCATGAGTTCGAATCCACCTGAAGCTTTTGTTAATGTTTACTGAATTAAATTTTTGAAATAATTTTTCAACCAAAATTGCACATTTGTTTGTCTATTTGACTTTAATACTTCCTAACTATTATCATATCTTTCATAATCAAGTAATTTTCTGCGGATTTGAGGAAATATTTAAAGGTGTAGTGAGCTACCTTAAATGGAATTAAATGGAACTATTTTTAGATGTGCATGATGCAACTTCTTGGATGGTGTTGAGTTTGTTTGTCAGCATGTGAAACCCACATGTATTTGGGGGTAGGTATGTTTACTATTTTTCTTAAAAGCTGCATAAGTGTTAGTTTTCCGATCCCAAATTTTTCTTTAAGCACTCAACAATGATTTCTCTTTCATTAATAATATACTGAGAGTATAAGTAATCAATTAAAGGGGCAACGAAAGATATTAATATAATTTGTAGAACTTGTTTATCAATCATTGTAAAATAAAAAAGGTTCAGTCAGTTTAAAGGGGCATCGTCACGATTTTGGTCAAAAATTATTTTTCCAATTTTAAGGTCAAACGACACGTTCCTCGAGAATTTTTTATGTATCTCCTCGTAATAAAGAGTTCCAATAGAAAATATTAATTTAATGATTACTTTAAAAATGATCAAAATTTACTTGGAATCGGTAATACGTCTAGATGGTTGAGTGGTTTGAACCGTGGTCGCTCACTTTTAGAAGCGTATAAGTTCAAGAGGTCCTGAGTTCAAAGCCCTGCCCAGGTGGAGATATAGTTCTAATATAGTGAATTTCACTGTGCTGTAGATGTATTTATTTTTATATCAGCAGTTCAAGGGTTTTTTCAAGAAGATTATATACTAGGAAATTGCATACTCTAGTATTTTGCAGAAATGCCTGGTAAGGTACCCTAATTTTTTGCAAGAAAGCTTGTCAAAGTAGTAGTAAACCATTAACAAATTCCTGGAAAAAGTTATCTAAAATTGAGGAACGTATGTGTTGTCTGACCTTAATGTTTACAATGCTTCAGTAAGGCATTTTTAATGGTCAGCCAAAATTTGATCATATAGTGGTCGTCTGGATTGGCAATCGTTCAGATTTTTCTTATGCACCGCCTTCTAAATGCGCATAAGAAATGGGTTCCCTAAAGTATTAAAAGTATTACAAGATGTTTATTCCATTTATTCAACTAAATTATTATAATTAGGGACACACTGATGATGTGTTGTATTATTAGAGGAACATGTAAATTGCAAGAACATGTTTCCAATCCTTTTGTGTAACTTATACAATTAAATATGTTCAATTCCATGTGTTGTAACCTCGTATTCAAAGTATGAACCTGTGAAAATTGTTTTCAGACTGTTTTAAGCAGAAAGAAAATAATTTATTTTTGAATATTGAAATTTCTTCAATTTTTGTAACCATTATGAGTTATTGTATTACAAATGCATCAATACCTATTTTATAAGGAAATACACGAGTTCTTATTAAAAAGCAGCACAAAATATTACTCATTTACATTTTTATTCTAATATGATTTGAATTTTTTTATGTACGACTATTAGTACAGAAATTCTAATTAACGATATCAATAAAAGAAAATGTTAGCTCGACGCCTTTGTTGTCGTTCTGTCTTTGAGTGTCAAAGAAGTGATGCAGGTCTTTGTGGTTTTCAATTACATGCCCTTGCTTTCCAGATGCACCAGAAGCAGCAGCACTGTCTCTATCACTGGTGAAATGGGAAATGATAAGTGGACGACCAATACTATGAAGCTCATTAATGCATTCCGCAGCCCATCTCTTTTCGTCTCCAATGGTGGTGTCTAGAGGAATTGTTGCAGTGCAGTCTTCATGTCTTGGGCAGGTAACTTCCTCTTCCTTGGCTCTAAGATGAATGCCTTTCCTGCACAGCTGTTTATTGCCACAAAACGCTGCCACAACATTCTTCTTCTTGGTAACATTTTCACTTAAAGTATATGTCACTTCAGCAAGGATGTCTCTAAAAATTGAAGTAGAAGGAAGAAATAAAAAAGGAGAAGGGGTCTGGGGGGTTTAGCTTATAGCTAGATTGTGTTTGAAATGCAATAATAGCAGGTTAATTACGTCATTTTAGGTGGGGGAATTCCCCGCCCTCGGGTCTTAGAAACAACCCTGGAGTCACTTGTGTGGCAGCATATATGATGCTGTTTTTCTGATGGCACTGAAGAGGACTTTGATATGCTGGGCATATCCTTCTGCTCTTATAGATGCATTGGCAAGTCCACATTTTTTATTAAGGTCTTGAATGTCCTGCCTTATTCTTTCCAGGGTTTTTTTGTTCACATTAGTGATGATTTTGCCTACTTTGTTGCAGGAATGTTGATGCTGGTTCGATGTTTGCACAAAGAAGCATACCACGCATACCCTAGTAAAAAAATTGCTACGAGGTAGTTAATATATTCAGTAGCATAAAATAATTTTCAATGAAATATTATATTTATAAGCCATATATTTACAACTTTTATATCTAAAATTATATCATACAATCGTTTAATTGAAACATTGATTAGATTTTGATAAATGTGGTCTCGAGTTCTCTAACGACTAATAATTCTTCATGTTGTTTGTTTTTTTAGGCAGTTGCAGTGAGTTTTTTTTCACTATCCCAAATGAAAAGAGGAATAGTTTGAAGACATTTATAGAATTCATGATGTTTTATAAAGTGGTCCCAAGCATATTGATTAAAAAACTACGATGCACATTTCCAGGTTTTGGTTCTCAACAAATAACTGGACAACTTATTGTGTGTGTTACCGTGATATGATTCCCAACAGACGAATCATGTGTGTTACCATGATATGATTCCAGATTGATTACTTGAAAACTATGGTGTCCATTATTATGCTATAATACCTGACAGGACTGGACAACTTAATGTGTCTCGTACTGTACTATGATTCCGAACAAATTGATGGACAACATACTACAATTGTGAGAATGTTAGATTTTTTTATACCCCGCAAATGAAGTTTAGGGGGGTATAATGGTTTCAAAACACTATTATCATAATAGTAATTTTGAATTTCATTTAAATCATTGCCCTATAGGGCCACTTCATCAATTTACTTAACTAATAAATTTAAACAACTTCTAAAAAAGTTTTCCCTAAACAAATGCTCCATCTAAGCCATGGCTCAGATAATGGCTGCCTTGGGACAAATGAATTCAGCCACACTTATAACCGTGTTTTACTTTAAATAAAAAAAATATCATCAGATCCATAAATTTGTAAATGTATTACTGTTATACATATGCATTTACAGTGAAATTCGGACAATTTTGATTTTTCTCTGTTAACTTTTTTTTTTTACAATTCTAGAATTTTTTTTATTTGTATGTGTTCCTAACCTTTATTATTCAATTCAATTATTTGTCCCATTTGAAATTAGCCTTGCGGGGGTATTTGTCCCATTAGGACAGTTCTAGTTAAGCTTAGAATTCCATTGTATTACCTTGATAAAAAAGTTTTTGCTCACCTGAACCAGAGGCTCAAGTGAGCTTTTCTGATTAAAATTTGTCCATTGTCTGTCGTTGTTGGCTGTTTCTATAAAGCTATGAATTAACTATAAGTTTCCATAAGAAATAGAGGGAATAATACTTGGTTGATGTAAATATTTAAGAATAATCAGAAATTTGTTGGGATTATGTAGAAATTTTATTCTCATAGTCAATTTGTCCAGAAAAGCTGAATTTTGTGTGGAAGCATCCTCAGATGGTGCATATTAATGTTCAAATCATGATCCCAGGGGGTAGGATGGGGCCATAATGGAGAAGGGGGGTTCAAATTCTGACAAAGGAATTTATAGTGAAACATCTTTAAGAATCTTCTTCTCTAAAACCTATTGGCCAGAAAAGCTTTAACCGAAGTGAAAGCATCCTCAAGTAGTGTATATTCAAGTCTATTCAAATCATGATCCCCAGGGTAAGGTATGGGCCAAAATGCATGATTAATATTAAGAGAATAATTATTTGGAATCTTTATCTTTTAAAGGGCCTCAATATTAAATGTTAAATTTTTTAAAAAGGTGGGGAAAATTTTAAGCTATACATATTTTGCTTACAAAATATTTTGAAAGATGTTTTATATTTTACTTAACTGTATATCAGTTTGCCATTGTTGCTCAGGTGAGTGATGTGGCCCTTAGGCCTCTTGTTCTTAAATGGAATTTGCATTTCGGATTCTTTTTATAATTTCTGTTATGAAAACTTTTTGTACATCATGAAAAATACAATAAAATGCTGTGTTTTTTACTTGTTTTCATTATAGTTTCAAATTATGGTCATTATTCTCCGTGACAAAGAAGGGAAAGTTAAGGGTTGAATCATTTCAACTAATAAGTACCATTTACATTCTGTAGTTGTTTTGTTAACCAGCTTCTTAAAAGAAAGGTTAAAATATATGCTAACATGATCATTCACTTTGGTTTTTTAGATGAAAATAACAATGTTAGACCCTCCTTAAAATATATAAATTTAGTAAGCATTGTAAAGTTGACCAATGAATTTGCACCCCCACAGGCATGTTTTCACATATTTATACCCCAGCAAAAAATTTGTCTGACTGTCTGTCTGACTGTTCAATTGTGTCATATCTTTCATACGGAGAAACAATGGAAGTTCCCACTTCACACAATTATTGCTTATGACCTAAGATCTTGACCCAAGGTCATTTGTGCAAGTTCAAGGTTACTTAAAGAAAAATTACTTATTCCTGTCTGGTCTATATCTTTCTTATGGAGAAACACTGGAAGTCATTGGTTCACATAATGATTGCTTATGATCTGAGGGTGTACAAGTTCAAGGGGAAAAAATTGCATAATTCCTGTGAAGGCCAATATCTTCCCGGGTTGTGATGGATAATGATTACAAGCTACAAACTTGACATAAAGATTCCCTGTGACCTGGAAATATGTCCAGACCTTAGTTCAATTTTGCAAGTAGCTTTAAGGTCACTGGAAGAAAAATGGTGCTTTCAATGAGGTACTCAACTTACCTGGTTCTGCACATAAATAAAAATTTCTAAATTAGGCCTACTTAAAGATATGAATTTTTAGCATGTATTTAACTTGAAAATGAAAAAAAAAATAGCTTCTGTGCCATCTGCACATGGTGGATAGTCATCGAAACTATTAACTGGTGGCATTTGATTTCCCTCCTTTTTAAATTCGAAACACCTCTGAAGTAATCTGAAGTAAAATTCAAAGTTTGATAACTCTTATTTGTTTATCATAAAAAATTCTGCATGGTGGACAAATTAAAGTTACTTCGGTTTAATAAAATATCTATTTACTGACTATTCAGACGATAGCAAGTTTATTGTCCCCCTCTACAGCAATTATTTCACGAGGCGAAAATAGTTGCTGTCTTGGGGGACAATAAACTTGCTATCGTCCTCATAGCATTATGATGTCATTCTAAGAGTTATGACTTCAAGTTTCGTAATAAAATTGAAACTTGACATATTATTGTTATAAAAGCTTTATTTTAATTGTTTTATTTACTTTTTATCATTAAAACAAAGGCAGTCGGTAAGATATAATCATTATATGGTTTGTAGTTGATCTAATATAGTGTATCCATGTTCCGTAAATTCCATATGGGGGCTCCAGCTCCACTCTTGGCCCATACGGAACTTGCTGATTATGTATAAACTATATTAGGTTAACTTTACACCTGTGGAGTTTGTGCTATCAACAATTGATCAAGATTAAATAATCCAAGCAAATAAGATTAAGGTGGTATTGGCCAGCGACACTTCAATATTGTGACGTTACAATACTGATGTGTTCATGCTTACTTTCAAAATTGATGATGAAATTCAGTTTAATTTTAAATCTTTTTTTTTTTTGCTTCATAGATATTTTACCGAACAGCATCAGTTGCGAATCTGTACATCATGAGTACGAATCCAGCTGGGTCTTGAAGAATTTTTACCTTTCCAATATCTTTTTCGACAAATAGTGTAAAATTGAAAATTTCTAAACCGTTGAAAATATTTTGATTATGTACTTTAATCCACATTTAAATACCGTCGGGTGACCAAGTTGACATCTGATTGGTACAAAAATAAAATGCATGACATTCCTTAAGAAATAGAGTATTAAAATTTCAAGCATCTGCGAGAAATAGTTGCTGAGAAATCTTTAATGAAAATTTGTTAAAAATTTATGCTAAAAATAAACAAAGTTGTTTTTAAAAAGAAGTTGATGTCCGATTGGTACAAGAAAAGACCATATGATATGGCATGTCTAAACAAAGAGTGTGTTAAAATTTCGAACATCTGCAATGAGTAGTTGCTGAGGAAAATGCAACAAAAAAATTTCATTCAGACAGAAGGATGGACAGACAGACATACATACAAGGGTAAAACAGTATACCCCCTTCTTCTTTGGAGCAGGGCTATAATTATTGTGAAGTTAGTTAATTGCTTTAATCATTCATTTTCAATAAACCAGCTATAGATAGCAAAAATGAAAGCAAGGTGGTGGACATGCTCTGGCTGATCCAAATCAGAGGGAGTTTGCATCAAAATATATACTTGCAATAAAATAATATTAATAATAATGAGCCATTTCGTTTCTGGAATGCATGATTTTAGTTTCTCTCCAGAACGATTCTGCAAGAAAGCGGATTGACTAATTAACATCATTGCAGATAGCAATGGAAAATACCTTGGATGGGACAATTAATTTTGATTAAATACAAATAAATAGCATGTACTTGTGTTTATATATATAGATAACGTATACATTTTTATACCACTGATAGAAAAATAGAAATCAGTAAAAAAAAAATGTGATGTTTGATTGGAGAGCAGTCGTCGCTGAAATTGCCTTGATATCTAGTGTACCTGTGTTAGCTCCTACAGCATGAATAAAATATTTGCAGCATACCAATATTCAAGTTCAATTTGAATGTTTACATATTAATCTTCAAATTTGAACAAATATCTCACGGATTTAACCATAAAAACATCAAGGGTGGAGAAACTTTAATTGTGCTAGCAATTCTGAGAAAAAGTATACCACAAATTGCCAATTCCATTTAATAGGTTTAAGAAAAATATGGCCATTTAAGTACTGAACCCACCATTTCCCAGGTTTATAGGGCTCTCCTTAAGTAAACATCTTTATCTGACCTTTTAGAGGTTAATTGTTGTTCATGCAGCCTCATTTAATATTGTAATGAA